GGGATGGGAATTGTAGATATTCAGTAATCAGAAGACAGACTATTTTGTTTGAAGCTAGATAGTTTTCAGTTAATTTGTCTTAAGGTAGGAAGTATAACTGCTGTGATCAGTGATAGTAATCCTGTCATTAAAAGCACATATTTTCAACAGTTTCAAGTATATTTGATAGGATGTATATTGACATAAGTTATTTTTTTTTAAAGTGCTGCATTAAGAAAACAGGTAACTTCATTACAATGGTTGTGGTTGGAGAAGAAAACTTAAAATAGGATCAATTATCTTCATTTCTCTCAATCAAATCTTGCAGTTTGATATCCTTCCTAATTATTCTAGGAAAAAATCTAATGTCTTTCTAATATATATCTTTGTTGATAGAAAAAAATGCGTGAATGCACAGCTATTTGACTCTTTTGGCTCACTTTAGAGTACAAAATTATAGAAATTTCTTTTAAAAATTAAAATCACCTGGATTCCTTCCACCTTGTGTAATCTAGTAATTTATTGTATATTCCATTGAGCAATATTCTGCATCCCCAAATAGCATTGTAAAGCATTATTTTCAATGGCGGAATTAGGGAAATAAATAAACAGTAAGTCATTTGCCTCATGGTTACAAAAGAATATCGAGTTCACAGAGATTTAATGTTATCAATAGGAGGAGGCAGTTCTGAATGCTAAATCAAATTATACCTTTTCCTGTTGGGATTTCAACATCTGCCTCAATGTAGATTGATGAGAATAAAGCAGGCCATCAGAGGCCCTTTGTCTGTGCTTGACTGGGTGAAACAGCTGACAAGTGGCCATCAGATTACCCACAGAGGGCCAGCTGTGAGATAGGAGTTTGACAGCTGACTTCATTATAATTCCTAGGCTGCAGACTGCAATGGATTTGTCCTTTAATTGAGCTGGGCCAGAAAACTGCTCAGAGAGGAAATGGGAGGGAAAATGCTTGGATACTGATAATGGCAAAAGTAGCAGGTGAATCCCACTCTATGACAGAACAAATAGTATCAGGACAATCCTGGGAAAATGAAAAATGTTTCAGTATGTTGAGCATTTCAGTCACTTCAATTGAAATTGCCCTAATTTGACCATTGGAATGTTTTTAGAAAGTTCTTTATTAATCAGGATCTTTTTCCCCTTAGCAGGCAATTGTCTGCTTAAAAAAAAAATAGCAGGAAAATAATACTTGCCTATCGCTTCCTTTGCCACATACTTTTAAATGCTATGTATCAAGAGAAGTAAGGATGAGTTCTTGTCCTTTGTAGGGACATGGATGAAACTGGAAACCATGATTCTCAGCAAAGTAACTCAGGAACAGAAAACCAAACACCGCATGTTCTCACTCATAAGTGGGAGTTGAACAATGAGAACACATGGACACAAGGAGGGGAACATCACACACTGGGGCCTGTCAGGAGTGGGGAGCTGGGGGAGGGATAGCATTAGGAGAAATACCTAATGTAGATGACCGGTTGATGGGTGCAGCAAGTCACCATGGCATGTGTATACCTATGTAACAAACCTGTGCATTCTGCACGTGTACCTCAGAACTTTAATAATTTTTTTCAAAAAATATAGAAGCAACTAGGAGATATTTATATTAAAAAAGCAAAGAAGATTTCTGTGGTTAACAAGATTTTGGAGAAATTTGTGACAGAAGAAAGAAAACAAACTGTAGCTTGTCAAATTACATGGTTGACCATAATTCAATATGTATACATATATTTAGAAACATAAAATAGCATAAGGTCAAATATTCCTTAGTGAAGTCTTGCAAACTGAAATATCAAAGGCAATTGGATTTACCAAAACATATATGTCAAAAGAATCCACTATTTGACATTAAAACAAAGACGATTTAAAACGGCATGTGAAAATGTTATAGATTTTTACTTTGAGAAAATAACTTTGTAATGGGCTTTGGCATTTAAATATGTGTGCTTTTGTGATTCACCTTCATTTGCTTCTGCTAGATTTTTCTCTTCACGGTTACAGTCTGTGTGAAATAATCACTAAAAATTCACACTGGTCATAAATAATGCATATTGTTTTATATCATTCTGATAAATGGTTTTGTACATATATTCATGTCTATTAGCATATTACTTTATATATTGAAACTTTTATTATTTGCAATTATAGGATTAATACATTAACCACAATAATTCAACCATTTTTTTGATTAATATTTTCTGTTTTCTTTCTCACAAAATTTTTGTGAGATCATCACAAGAAGAGGAGTCTAAATTTATTGTTTACTCTTCCTATCTCTAAATGCAAGGTCAGAAATATGAAATATTTAATAAGCAATCAAAAGGAAATCTAGATGATGTTATACTGATAATTATTTTTAGAATCATGGAATTTTATGCACTAAAATATCTAATAGTCATTTATTCAAATCACTCCTTTCTTTTGGGGAGCAAAAATCAATGTAGAGATGGAGTTCATCATAAGACTCACAACTTTTACCAGAGGTCTTATGAATAGAGGAATTTGAAGTTTGGTTTATTGAGACCAATAGTTGGATATCACTGTCGGGCTTTCCACACAATGTCAATACTTAATTCATGAAGGACATTCCCTTAATATAACATAGTGGTTGAGAATACAGGCACTGAGCGAAACTGTCCAGGAGCAAACTCAAACTCTCCCATCTGTAATTCATCTAGTCTTGAGCAAGTCACTTTCAATCTCTTTTAACGTGTTTCCTTATCTGTAAATTTGGCTGGCTAATATTATCTACTTTAAGATATTACAGGTTGTATGTGTGATGATTAATACATGTATTACCCTTAGAACATGTATAAAGCAAGCTTTGTATTAAAGGAAGTGTTAACTGTGTTCCACTGTCTTCACCCCAGTTACCTGATTTTTAGAATAAATAAATGCATAAAAATAAAAATCACATTTTATGTTAATTTCTTAGAATAAATAAGTAAAATAAAATATACAATAGAAAAATAAGTACTCTCATTAAAATGGTATTCAGTAATAGATTTTCCAAAATTATCTATATTATTTGAGAAAATAAACATTCAAGAAATAAAACATCCAACTCAGCAGGATCAGTTCAAAAAACAGTTTCTGATTTACTCTCCTTGAGATTTTCCTTCACTGGTTGCCTCCTTTTCTTGTAATGATTTCCATAGTTACTAATCCCTTCACATCCAGAGGGAAAAAAATGGAAAAAGAAAGAGAGAAAGGATACAAAATTCAGTCAAGCTCTGATATGACCATGGCAAATATATTGCCAGAAAAAGAGGTCTAGATTTATTTTACACCCTTATTTGAATTTTGGTTATGGGGTCCAGACCTCATCTTGTTTTCTGCTGTCTAGAATCTTGTCTTCCTAGATCTCTTTTTACCTCAATCAAATATTACTTTTAAATAATTTTTGGCCAATATCTCCAATACAACTTGCTAATACGAGAGAGCCATGGCATTAGCACTGTTTTATAAAATGGTGGTGATTAATAGTTAGCTTTAAAAATCCTGTAGATTTTTCCCTTTCTCTCAAACAGATAGAATAATAATCTCCTAAAAGACTTCCCATAATAGAACACAAAATAATAATATCTTAATACCTCAACACCATAATTTATATGCAATAAAATTTAGCACACACATAAGATGGGGCATGTTTCCCTACAAACTCTGAAACACCAGTGACCTTTTTAGAAATTAAATGTGTCTATTATATAATGGCCACTAAAATTGAATTACATATATGCCAGTCACGGTATTTCTTTACCAAGTAAGATAATGGAAAGAAGTACAACTTACTGACCACTCACATAATAACTTGCAATGCTTTGCTTGTAAAAAAATGCCAAGCTAATTTTTTTCATCTCCAGGAGTTCGGGGGCTGTAATGCTAAAATAATCCTCCTTTGGTCAGGTCCAGGGTGGGTCCCTGTTCTCAGATATCAACATTGGTATGAGGAGCATACATAGTCTCTTTCTCATTCCAAATTAACTAAACCTAGGCATTCATGAGTACATTAAAAGATTAAGGTTGAAAAACCACCTTAAAATATAAAAGCTTTGAACTTGACTTTGAGCTTCACTTTAAGGGTATCTGTGAACCAGGTACACATTTTCACAGTTACTCCTTCAGATGAAATTTGGCTTCAGTAAGAAATGCCTGTAGGAATAGCCCACCTCAGTTTTTCAGAGCTGTTACAATTCAATCATCAGAAAATTCTATGGAAATGATGTTATTTATGTCAGTACTGGTGTAGATACTAGAACAATAAGAACATTGAAAGTGACTAAAGATGAATTTAGCCTGCTGTATTTAGGAACAACCAATCAAGAACCCACAGTCAAGTGATGGGGCATAGAGAAGAAAGAAATGAAAAAAGCAGGTATTCTCAATCCAAATTTGTCTAGTTAACTAAATATTGGGATTTTTGGGGGGGGGCAGAGAAAATAAATATTTAAAAAATAAAAAGTCTAAGTAGTAATCATTTTCCCAAAAACATCAGATTACCTGTTATGGCATTAGGGAACTTAAAATTTACCTCATTCTGTTAGATTTCTCCTTTATCTCTGATACGGAGTGATTATTATTTCATCTCAGATATAAGTATTTAAAGCCATAGTTTCCCTTTTATCACAGACTAAGCGGTAACCCACAAATTTGAATATGCTGAACCATTATTTTTCAGTTTGAAATAATTTTCAATTTTATTTGTGATTTTTTTCTTTGACCCATGGATCACATAAAAGTGTAGTTATCCAAAGAATTGGATGGTTTTAATCCTTTCTCACCAGATAATGTACTCCATATTATTTAATTATTTTCCATTTATTAAGACTTCCTTTATATTTCTAGATACGGTCTGTCTTGGTGAAGATGTCATAGGCTCATGAAAATGAGGTATTTTTTCTAGTTGGTGAATGGAGTGTTCTATAATATCAATTAGGTCAAGGTGATTGACACTTACTGAAACAATCTGGTTTTTTTTGTTTTTTTTGTTTTTTTTTGCCCAGGCATTCTATCAATTGACAAGAGTGATGTTACAATTTACAGCTGTGACTGTAAAACACTGTCAGTTTGTTACATATGTTTTAAAGTTCTTATATTAGGCACATAAACCTACATAATTGTATTTGTTCCTGATAAATTGAACATTTTATCATTATGAAATATTACTTATTACCTCTGGAAATATTTTTCTTTCAAAGAATAGGTTGCCTGTGATATTAACATAGCCATCTCAGCCTTCTTAAGGTTGCTGTAAACATGAGAAACCTTTTTCTATTGACTTGTTTTCAACTTATCTGTCTTTGTATTTAAAGGGAATCAATGAGAGATAACAGATAGTCAAGTCTTTCATGTTTTTTTTAGTCGTTTCTGATAATCACTGACTTTTAATTGGAGTGCTTAGTCCATTAATATTTAATGTGATTATTGATATTGTTGTGATTTAATTCTACCTTTTTGCTTTTCATTTTCTGTTACTTGTTTCTATTTTTTCTTTCTTTCCTACATTCTACTTGATTACTTCCATATTATTAGGATTCTGTTCTGATGTTACAATAGGCTTTTTCAACTTCACCATTTACATTAATTTTTAGTAGTGGTTATAGGGATTATAGTATACATTTTTAATTTTTCTGTGTATTTAGTGTTAATACTATACCATTTCACATTTGGTGTAGAAAACTTCTAACCACCTTTGTGTTATAGTTATGTATATTACAAATACATAACATTGTAATACCCCTGGAGACAACATAATAATGTTTGTTTTAAATCATTGTATTTTCTTTTTAAAGGAAAGAAAAATAGTTTATTTTTACCAAGATATTTATCCAGTGCTCTTCATACTTTCCTAAAGTTCTGCATTTTTACTATATACCATTTTATTTCACCAGAAAAATTACCTTTAACATTTCTTAGGGTACTACTTGTCTGTTGGAAATAAATTATCTTAGTTATTCTTCTTTTTTTTGGAAAGTAGCATTATTTCATACTCAAAAGGCAATTTTGCTGTTTATAGAATACAGAATTGGATTTTTTTAAATTACTGCTTTCAGGATATTAGCTCACTGCTTTCTTCCCCGTACATTTTCTCATGAGAAATCAGTGTTAATTCAAATGACTCTTCCTCTGTAGATAACCTGCTGCTGGTTGGTGGGGTTTATCTGCTCTCAAGATTTTTTCTATCTTTCACATTTGTAGTTTCACCTAATATGCCTTGGGTGTGGTTTTGCTCCCAATTATTCTGCTTGATATTTGCAAAATATCATGAATCTTTGTATGTTTCACCAAGTTGAAAAAATGTTGAACTTTGTTTTCTTAAAAATGTTTCTTACTATATTCTTACTCTCGCCTTCTTCTGGGACTTTAATTACATCAATATTAGATCTTTCTCTATAGTTCCATACTATTCTTTTTTATTTCATTTTTATCGCTTGATTGATAAGGTTTACTTTCATCTACATTATTTGTTAAGAGTTTGCTTTTTAAAAAATTTCAGATTTTGTATGTTGTACTTACGTAATATCCATTTGGTTTCTTTTTTAATTGTTGCTACATATTTGCTGATATTTCCTATTGTTCATTGTAAGCATAATTCTTACATTCTTGAATATTGTACAATTGCTGCTTAAAATATTAGTCTGCTAATTGTGATATCAATTATCTCAGGATTGCCTTTTCTATTCCAAATGGGTAAATATTTTTGTTTTTTCCTATGTAGAATAATTTTTAGATTGTATTTTGAGTATTTTTAAGTCAGAGTCTTAAAACTTTGCTTTTTTTATGTGTAAAATCTTTAATTTTATTGTCCTTTTTATTGTTTTAACAGGCAGATAACTTGTAGAAATTTTCAACTAAAAATTCTTTATCTCAACCCTCAGTTTAGTCTAGTCTATTTACCCTTTGGTAGAGTCTGTAATGAGCAAGTGTGAAAGTATAACAAACAGGAGTGAAACAGATTTGGGCAGTTTATACAAAAATATTTAGTCTTTATTGTTAATATTTCTAGCTTCAAGTTTACTTGATCCTCTCTACTGTTAAGCATCTGTTAACTGTCTCAGATTCGGTTCTCTTGCTCATCAGGACCCACAATCATGTTTTCAAAGTTTTAGCTGCTTTGTGTGCAGCCAACTTAGACTAAAACCTTAAAAAACAGAAAATCATACAAGTTATCCTTTTTTCCAAGTTATTACTCCTCCCAAAACCTGTCTAGTGCTGCTTAGTGTCACTGTGAGTTTATTTTTTTTATTGACCTGTTTATCGTTTTCATATGCATAAAGGTTAGGTCCTGTATGAAATTACTTTGTTATACCAGAAGTAGACACTGATCTTTTTATTTTTTTGTAAGTTGCTGGGGTACAGGTGGTATTTGGTTACATGAGTAAGTTCTGGAGTGGTGATTTGTGAGATTTTGGTGCACCAATCATAAAGCAGTACACACTGCACTACATTTGTTTTATCTCCCCTTCCCACTCTTCCCCCCAAGTCCCCAGAGTCCATTATATTATACCCTTGCATCCTCATAGCTTACTCCCACATGTCAGTGAGAACATAGGATGCTTCATTTTCCATTCCTGAGTTACGTTACTTAGAATACTAGTCCCCAGTCTCATCCAGGTCACTGGAAATGGTGTTAATGGTGTTAATTCATTCATTTTTATGGCTGAGTAGTATTACATCATATATATATATATACATATATATATATATATGTATATATATATATATAGACACACACACACACACACACACACAAACACACACATATGTATATACACACATACCACAGTTTCTTTTATCTCGCTCTTGTTGCCCAGGCTGGAGTGCAATGGTGTGATCTTGGCTCACCACAACCTCCATCTCCTGGGTTCAAGTGATTCTCCTGCCTCAGCATCCTGAGTAGCTGGAATTACAGGAGTCCACCACCATGACCTGGCTACTTTTTGTATTTTTTGTATTGATGGAGTTTCACCATGTTGGCCAGGCTGGTCTCAAACTCCTGATCTCAGATGATCTGCCTGCCTCAGACTCCCAAAGTGCTGGGATTACAAGTGTGAGCCACCACACCCAGCCATAGCACAGTTTCTTTATCCACTCATTGATTGATGGGCATTTGGGTTAGTTCCCCAATTTTACAATTGTGAATTGTGCTGCTATGAACATGCATGTGCAAGTATCTTTTTCAAATAATGAGTTCTTTTCCTCTGGGTAGGTACCCAGTAGTGGGATTGCTGGATTAAATGGTAGTTCTACTTTCAGTTCTTCAAGGAATCTCCACACTGTTTTCCATAGTGGCTGTACTAGTTTACATTCCAACCAGCAGTGTAGAAGTGTTCTCCGATCACTGCATCCACGCCAACAGCTACTTTTTTTCATTTTTTGATTATAGCCATTCTTTCAGGCGTAAGGTGGTATCTCATTGTGCTTTTGATTTGCATTTCCCTGATTATTAGTGATGTTGAGCATCTTTTCATATGTTTGTTGGCCATTTGTATATCTTCCTTCAAGAATTGTCTATTTATGTCCTTAGCCCCCTTTTTGATAGGATATTTTTTCTTACTAATTTGAATTCATTGTAGATTCTGGATATTAGTCGTTTGTGAGAAGTATAGATTGTGAAGGTTTTCTCCCACCCTGTGGGTTGTCTGTTGACTCTGCTGACTGTTCCTTTTGCTGTACACTTTTAAGTGGGGGCCAAATGATGAGAACACATGGACACATAGAGGGGAACAACAGATACTGGGGCTGACCTCAGGGTAGAGGTTGGGAAGAGGGAAAGGAGCAGGAAAATTACTAAGGGGTACTAAGCTTAACACCTGGGTGAAGAAATAATCTGTACAACCACTGTGACAGGAGTGTACCTACCTAAGAAAACTACACATGTACTCCTGAACTTAAAGTTTTAAAAAAGAAACTGCCAGTAGAAAAAGGATCTAACATGTTTTTCTTTTAGCTTCTTTCCTATTCTTGTCATTCTAATTTATCAATTCTACTAAAAGTTTAAAGACTAAGGTTTAATTTCTTACTGAATATCATTTTCATTATTTAATCCAATGTAAATTGTTATTAGACTTTCTCAATGTTAATACGAGTTTTTCTGCATTTTCTAGTCAGTTTCATTACTGTGGGGCACTGTATATTGCTATCAGAATGGTAGGTGGAGTGCATGTTAGTCATTAGACTTCCCATAAATAATGCACATTCACTTACACAGTTTCGGTCAATACTGAAAGTTACTTCTTTTTCTTTTCTTTACTTTTTCTTTTTTGACATGGTGTCTCGCCCTGTCACCCAGACTGGAGTGCAGTAGCACAATCCTAGCTCACTGCAACCTCTACCTCCTGGGTTCAAGCAATTCTCCTGCCTCAGCCTCCCTATGAAAGTTATTTCTTAAGGAAAGTAGAAGTTATCAAGTTAAAAAATAGGAGAAAGCAAGTTGAAAACAGAAAGGTGCTGAATAGTTGATCCTTTAGAGGACACAAATGTGTGATGAGTGTTGGAACACTCTGGGTAAATTTTCCTATTATGCTCTGGATGTTTAAATACCTAGCTTCATATTCAAAAGCTAGTTAATTGAAGGCGTTTTCCTGAAAGCTGTACTAGAAAGACTCCTGACCGAGCTACCTAATAACTTAATTATCTGGGTTTTGTTTTATTACAATATCTAAATCAAAGAGAGGTTTCAAAAGAAGTGAAAAGTTTCCATGTTGGTTAGAGCTGAATGTGGCTAATTTCTCATTTACTATTAATGAAATAGAAGTTAGTTTAACTGGCAGGAAATTAGGCAATATAAAGCTAAAATCATTACAGTTGTAAATTTTATTAGATATAGTAATTATACCTCTAGTACTATGCATTTTCTTAACTCAAGGTAATTATTTAAAATATGATTGTGCATTCGATACACAGACATTCAGTATGTTGCTCATTATGGGTTAAAAACAGAAACAGTATAAATGTCCAAAATTGTTTGGGAAAAATATTTGACAACCCATAAAATGATCACAAAATATTAAATTTAAAAGGATAATAAAAATTAGTATATATAATATGAATTCATTTTGTAAAATATCAGTATTAAAAAATAAAAGTATGCATATGTAACACACTAACAGTGCTTACTTCTCCATGTAAGGATTATAAGTGATTTTGAGTATTTTCTTCTATTGCTCATATTTATTTTTTTGAATGTCCTAAAATTAACAGATTGCTTTTGCATAAGGAAATGCAATGAATAATTTTTTTAAATATTTAATAAAATTGATTTTTAATATGATTTTATTTTTTGAATAAAATTTATTTTTCAATTTTTACATATTTACAGAACAACTTAGCAGAAAGTACATAAAGTTTAGTATATCTATCCGACACCAATCCCAGACAGACAAATTTTCCTGTAATTAACATCTTGGATTTATTTGGTACATTTCTTACAATTAGCCAATACTGGTAAGTTTTTTAGAAGTATCATTTATACTTTTTAATAAAGTCCATCTTATCAATTTCTTTTTAATCACATTGTTAGTGTTATATCTAAAAGCTCATTGCCAAACCCAAGGTCATCTACATTTTTTCCTATGCTGTATTCTAAAAGTTTTATAGTTTTGTGTTTTGTACTTAGATTTATTTTGTATTAATTTTTGTGTAATGTTTAAGGCTATGTCTAGATACATACTTTTGCACATAGATATCAAACTGTTCTGATATCATTTGTTGAAAAGATTATCCTTTCTCCATTAAATTGCCTTGCTTTTTTGAAATAGATAAGTTGACAATATTTGTTTTGCTCTCTATTCTGCTTTGCTTATCAATTTGTCTATTACTTGACCAATACCACACTATCTTGAATATTGTAGCTTTATAAGTCTTAAAGTAAGATAATGTCATCCTTCTGACTTTATTCTTCAGTATTTTGTTGATTACACTAGGTCTTTTCTCCTTCCTTATAAACTTTAAAATCAATTTGTTGACATCCACAAAATAACTTGCTGGGATTTTCATGGGGATTATATTAATTTATATATCAATTTGAGGAAAACTGACATATTAAACATCTTTTATGTCTTTCTATTCATGAACATAAACTGTCTTTCCATTTTAAAAGATCTTCTTTGATTAAATCAGGGTTTTGTAGATTTTCTCTAATATATATGGTATCCTCTCTATGTATTGCATGTGTCTCTTTTTTGGTGTTAATACAAATGGTGTGTTTAAAATTTTAAATTCCAATTGTGCATTGCTACTATATAAAAAGCAATTGACTTTTGCATACTGATATTGTATCCTTCAATCTTGCTAAAACCACCTAGTAGTTATAGGATTTTTATGAAGAGGGGCTAATTCATTGAGATTTTCTACATAAACAGTGATGTCATTCGTGAACAAACACTAAGAACATTTTCAAAAAACTATACTGATTCCAAGATAGTGCACATATAAATCAACAGAATACTTTACATTCCTCTCTCAATTCTTATAACATTATTGCTATTTTTTTTTACCTATCCATATGCTATGGGTGTATGAATACACATACATACATACATTTATATAACATGGTTGTTATTGCTGTGAACAGGCGTTTGTTACATCAGATAGAAATAAGAAAATTGAAGCTTTATTTACCCTTTTATTCTCTGGATTTCCTTCTTAAAGAAGATCCAAGTTCTCTCTATATATCTGACCTATGTCATTTCTCTCTTTATATCTGACCTATTATTATTTTTCCTTTCTCTGAAGAATTATTGTTTTTGGCAAGAGTGATCTGAGGGCTGCAATTACACTCAGTTTTTGTTTAAGAAAGTCTTTATTCTTCTTCACTTTTGAAGTATAATTTCATTGGGTACCTAGTCCTAATTTGTCAGTGTTTTTTTATTTTCTTTGAACACTTTAAATATTTCCTTCATTTTTTTTTCTTGCTTGCATGTTTCTGAAGATAAGTCCAATATAGCAGTTTTCTTTGTTTCTCTATAGATAAGGTGTTTTTGCTGTTGTCCTTGTTTTGTTTTTCCTTCTGAGTTCTTTCACAGTTTTCTCTTTGCCTTTAATTTTTCTATAGTTTGAATATAATATGCTTCAATGTATATCTTTTGACTTTTTTCTGCTTGGCATTCTCTGAGCTTCCTGCATTTGTGGTTCTATTTTTTTACCTTAATTTTGGAAAATACTCAGCCATTATTATTTCAAGCATTTGCTTCTTTCTCTTTTTTTCTCCTTCTCATATTTCCATTATATGTATGTTATATGTATGTTACACCTTGTGTAACTGTCCTACAGTACTTGGATATTCTATCTCATTGTTAATTTTCTTTTTTTTTTAAAATTTGGCTGTGTTTCTTTTAACATATTGGCTGTGTCTGGCCTACTGATGATCTATCAAAGGCATTCTTCATATCTGTGACAGTGTTTATGATTGTCAACATTTTGTTGTGGTTCTTTTAGAGAATTCCATCTCTCTGCTTACATTACTCAAATATTCTTGCATGTTATCTACTTTTACCATTTCATTTCTTAGCATATTCATCATAGTTACTTTACATTTAGAATCTTGTAATTTCAAAATATTCACTGGTGGTGTTTGCTTTGTCTCCTTAGCTCATTTTTTTTTTCCTTTTAGCATGTCTTGTAATTTTTTGGTATAAATTAGAAATAATGTATTGGATAATAGGAACTTAAGTAAGCCTTTAGTGTGAGATTTTTTGTTAATTTGGCTCAGAGCTCATCTGTGTTTACTGTTTTCTGTAGTTGTAGTTGCCACAGGCTTCAGCTGCCTCTATTGTCCTTGTTTTTGTCTGTCTGCTATTTTTGGATTTCCCTAGAATCTCCTTCTTAAATAGAGTCTGAGGCTTGCAGTTCTTTCAGTCCTAATCTACTGTTATTATACTGGAGCTCTGTGGTGGACAAGGGCAGGAAAGATGAAGCAGTATATAACCTGATGATTAAGTCTCAGTCTTAAAATGGATTTGTGCTCCTTGGCTGTAACCTTTACAAGTACTTCTTGGCTGCTTTTCCCATTTATGATAGGCAGTAAGGCTAGAAGGGGCTGGATTTGGGTAATTTATTTCTCTAAGTCAGTGCTCTGAAGTTACTTCCCTTACTTGCTATGTAGGCTTCTGTTGTGGGGAATGCTTTGGATTATTTTAAATGATTGCTTTTCCTCAGGGCACTTCATAATGCTTACTGTTTTTCATCCCAGTGCTAAACTTTTTAAAATCTTTACCTTGAGCAGTGTGTGGGGCTCCTGGAGGTAAAATTCACGAAAATTTGGGGCCCTGGGGATTGGCTCTCAAAATCTGCTGTCAAGTAGTCTGAAGTAAGCCTCCAAGAACTGGTCAAAGTTAAGCATTCTTAAGAATTACTGGCTCCAGAGGCTTCATCTGCAGGGAAGCCAAACTGTATTCTTTGTATTTGCCTGTTTCTCTTGTTTTTATGGTTGGTTTTTAAGGTTGGTGGTTTGTCCACCTCAGTTCTCATGGATTTAAGTAATTTGTTTTTAGTTTATTTAGTTTTTTGGTTGTTTGTTTGATGAATGTGGATGAGAATGACTTTTAAGTCCTATGTTCATTGTAGTAGAAATCAGAATTTGAAAGCTCCAAAAGTTATTTTTTAAGTGGAACTTTAAAACGACCCCAGATCATTTGTTGTTACTATTTATTGATATTATGCCCCTACTGCCAGGAAATTCTGAGTAGTTTTCAAACGTAATAGGCTTGGGAATCTAATTTCAATTCAACCACTTACTGATTGTGCCACATTGGCAGACTGACTTTATTCCTATGTTTTATTTTACCATTAAGACAGACTGGTACTATCAACCATAGTGTTCTTGTAAAATTTATGTAAAGGTGACACAGAACAAAATCTCAGAACAGTGTAAGTTTTTGGTAATAAGACTTGTAATTATTATTTTCACTAGCAATTACTTTATACTACAGGAACGAAATAAATGATTGTGTAGCATTCATCAGTCATATGGGATTCAAATTTATTTATACTTGATCTCGATTCCTGGCTTCAATGTAACCTCAAGTATTTTAATCAACCGCTTGACCTCAGCTACTCTCTTTGTAAACCAGTACTGATAATTTTTAACCTGAAGTTGGTCTTGAAGACTGAAATACATTACGTATGTAAAGAGTTAGTTAGGCACAGTGCCTGAAACTTAGCACTTAAAAAGTGCTGCTAATCCTTACCAGCAGCAAGTGGTAAGTAGTTTTAACCTACATTGTGACTGTAGCTTTGTTTAGTCTCCTTTGTGTTATGTTGAAGTTGATAAACAGTCCAAAGAGGACCCAAAAATGTCTTGTCTTGTTCTTACCTTTTTCTCCACATCATTTGGGAATCACCAGTACAGTGACCAGTGACAGATAGTTTGTCTAAATTATACTTGTAAAACATTGATTCATAAATTCAGCACATACTTAGTGAGTTTGTGTTCTGTGAATGTTAAATAAAGGGTTTGCAATATACAAATTGATTTTTTTTTCTTAAAAAGCGATAATCTAGCTATGTGATTTCTCTGGGTACAATTCAAAATTCTGCCTCCCAAAACCCTTAGGTAGATTTTCTTCTTTGGTTATTTTTCTTTTGGCATTTTGATGATATTATCTTTTAGAAGAAACTTGGCATAGTATATAAATAAAATTTATTTAGAGGACTTGAAGGAAATAAAGGCCTATAAGTTCAAATTGTTTGTAAAATTAAGCTCGAAAATGACCTTGTGAGATACACAGAAACACATTCATTTTATTCCAGTACCCCATGTCTTCCACTCTTGCACCATTGCCTCTCTCTTAGCTGATATCTATGTTGGTTTAGGTATTCTAAATAATCAACTGAAAGAAGATTGGGAAAATGCTATTTTGGTTTATAGATGGGTCAGCTTGTTATGTGAGAGCAAGCCCCAAATGGGTGACAGCTGCATTATACAGTAGACTTTTTCAGAGATAGCTTTAAAAGATAATGGTGAAAAAAATCTTCCCAATGGGCAGAGCTATAGGAATGCTTCTGGTCATCCATTTTATGTGCAAAGAGAAGATACCTGAAGTTAGTATATGTATGCTTGCAGATGGCCTGGGTGATTAGTCTAAGGCCCAGAAGGTAAATGATGAAAAAATAATAGACAATGAGGTCTGAGTCGAGGCAACCAGATAAATATATGGTAATGAGCATAAAGGGTGTAGATTTATAGATTTATGTAGGACATGTAAACACCGACAGACAACAGCCACCACAGAAAACAGACTAAACAGCCAAGCACAAAATACTGTGCAGCCAGTTGACATCAGCCAGCTTCTGTGATTGGCCACCCCCGAGCGGGCATAATGAACACATGAAGTGACAATGACAGCAGAGACAAACACTACACATGGGGTATCAGAATGAACTCTCAGTTACTAAGGCTGAGCTACATATTGCTCATGTTCAATATCTCATCTTTCAGCAAGAGAAGCTAGCATAGAGCCCACGATGTGGCACCACGCCTCAAGGACATCGGTTGACTCCCTTAGGGAAACTGACTACATTTGGTATCTTGCATCCTGAGAAAGCCAGCATTTTATTCTTAGAATTCACTTTTCACGTAAAGTTTCCTTTTCCAGCACCAGTATCCAACATGGAATTCCGTCTAATACCATGTTACATTAAGAAACTCACTATATATGAAAGGAAATGTGAGAGTGAGCCCCAAACCAAGGAATTTATTCTTGGTTCCATACTGGCCACCCAAAAACTGGCTTAATAGAGAAATAAAATGGCCTCATAAAGGTGTAACTGGGCCTGGCATGGTGGCTCACATCTGTAATCCCAGCACTTGGGGAGGCAGAGGCAGGTGGCTCACCTGAAGTCAGGAGTTCAAGACCAGCCTGCTCAATATGATGAAACCCTAACTCTACAAAAAATACAAAAATTAGCTGGGTGTGGTGGTGGGCGCCTGTAATCCCAGCTACTTGGAAGGCTGAGGCGGGAGAATCACTGGAACTGGGAGGCAGAGGTTGCAGTTAGCTGAGATTGCACCACTGCACTCCATGTGGGTGACTGGAGCAAAACTCCATCTCAAAAATAAAAATAAAGGTGCAACTAATGGGTCAACATGGAGGGGTCAGTTCCATTCTACAGGACACCATCCAGATGTTGAACCAAAACCTCTACATAGCTCCGTATCTCAAATATGAATATTACATGGGTCTGGGAAGCCAGGAAGTCAGTGTAATGGTGGACTCATTTACAACTCAGAAAGAGCCACCAGAAGAATTGATTTTTTGTCCATTCTTAAAAGTTTAGGACCTGTATGGTTAGAGATCTTGGTCATCAAGGAGTATACTTTCATCAGGGGACATAGCAAGAGCTCCAATGAATGACAAAGTTTGGTTGCCCTTAGGCATGTTGGTACTTTTGTGTGTACAGGAATCATGATGCAAGACTAAGCGTTGTCATTTTGTATGAAAAATTGACCCTGATCAACAGGATGAGACGGAGACATTATTGCAAATTGGGGTGGGGAGTAATATGTGTGGATGTGGAACCCAGGTGATTCATCTGGAGACATCTTGGTGCTGTCTTACCCAACTGTGGCTTTAAAAGGGCAGTTAGAGCAACATTGGCTTGAAATGGCGTGATAACCAAGCACTCACAGACATGGATCGGCGTCATACTAGCAGACAGTT